AACAAGTCTTTCTTGGAAGAAATACAGCCAGAGTGCTCCTTGGAAGCAAGGATGGGGAGACTTCATCTCATGTACTTTGGACATGTTATCAGGAGGGACCAGTCCTTGAAGAAGGACATCATGCTTGGTAAAGTAGTGAGTCAGTGAAAAAGAGGACAACAAGATGGACTGACACAGTGGCTGCAAAAATGGGCTCTAACATAACAACAATTGTGAGGATGGTGCAGGACCAGGCAGTGTTTCGTTCTGTTGTACACAAGGTTGCTATGGGTTGGAACCAACTTGACGGCACCTAACAACAACATGTTTACAATGCTGGGTGATGGGGAATATATACAGAAAAACAGAAATGAATTCTATTCTTAGTTTAAGGTTTTGGTTGTGTTAAGGTGCAAGTTTTAAAGTAATAAGTTTCATAAAAAGCATATTAATAAAGTCCTATGAAAAATTGGAAAAACAAGAAACAAGTGATGTTTGATGGAGAGTTAAATAAAATCTTCAGGGAGATGCTGTTTGAACTTTTCAAAATGGTAAAGAGGCAGAATGCTAAGATGTAGAAAAAACATATCTTCAAAGTTTTGGGGGAAAAACAGAAAATAAGCCAAGGTATGTATAGGCAGCAGGCAATAGATCATTCTGGCCAAATAAAAAAAAAGTATTAAAGGGAATAAAGAATAAAACTCTGGTAAGTTCATTAGGGACCAGATTATGGAAAAACTTGATTTTCTTAAAGATTTCTTAGAGACTTGGACTTTATTTAAGAAGGATACCATATCAGCTGGCTTTTGAACTGGATAATGATATAGTCAAAACTCTGCCTTAGCAAATTGAATTGAAACCACTGCATAGGACACAGTTTAACAGATGACTACCTGACAGACTTTCACAATCATCTGTCTTGCCTTTACTTGATCACTCATTTTCTGACCTTTTTTTCTTAATTGGTGTAAACTCCATCAGAATACAACTTAACAGTTCATAATTTAACTGTTTTTTTTTCTTGATTATTTCTTTTATTAAATAAAACAAATGAAATCCAGAGCTACAGAGCTGCTTTACTTGCTTTGACAGTAGATAAGTCATACACAAGGGACCAAAGAAGCTCCGAAAGACTTCCTCTCATCCCCATCACACCACCATCAAACATAGTAGAACTCTACATTAACAGCAGCCAAGTTCTTTAAAAGCATCAAATTAAGAGGGAAAATAGTCCCTATGAGTCAGAATCAACTCAACAGCAATGGGTGTGAACCCATAACCATAGAAGACAAACTTCAAGTCTATTTCAGTAGCC